TGGAAAACCTGCTCTGTGCTACTCAGAAATCCCCTTCTCCGGTGTTGAGTAGATGATATGCATAATATACCTGCCTGATTTGCACAGCAGCTCCTCTCCCCATGAACAGACTGGTGCCATTTCATTCTGCAGCTGGAGGAAGGCAGTAGTCCTTGCTTCTCTTCACGTTGCTGTTCTGTTTCTGGATTACACTTGAAGGCCCCATGTCATCTGCTCAGTTCAGGGTCAGCTTAAGCTCCCGTTTTGGTCCATTCCATCCTTTTTCATGATTCCTCTGTGAAGTGTCCCAACCCTGATTCGATGCCAAAGGGAACGCGAGCCCTTGGAGCTCAAAGCAGGGAGAGACCAAAGGTGACGGTGCACATCTGTCCAGGTACAGAGCAACTGTTACTCAACTCCATGGAGTCATTTGGTGTGCTGAGCTCACTAAAGCCTTTCCGACTGTTGGGTTACAGCTTACTGAGGGCCCACAGTTTGGAAGGAGGATATTGCTTCACTAAGATGTGAGCCATAATCATAGTGCTGATTTCTCACCTTGGCAAGAAGCAAAGGGGCGACGGCAGAGAGTTAGACCAGCGCTGAATGCTTTTGACCCCCTGCACATGCAGGCATGCACCTGCACACCAGATGCACTGTCTTTCCCTGCAATCCATCTCTGCCACCAGTGCGCTGGTGCAAGGTGAAGGTATTCAGCATCGGGCAGGTATGAGTCATGTCACCTGCTGAATCTTCTTCCCAGCATCGAGTCATGCAAGCCTTGAGACAGGAAGGTCTAGGTCCCCATCAATTCTCAGCATTACAAAGTCAATACTAAAAATCTGGCAGGTGGAGCTCATGCTGGCACCTCATTTTTAACTCCTCTGAACTGTCCTGGTCTTCTTGGCACCAAGACTATGTGTTCTTTTTAATGGGGCTTTCATAAACCTTGTTCCAGGAATGAAAACAGATGCCAGCGCATGCAGCACCCCAGGGAAGATCCTTGCCTTCTTCCAGAGCACATGAACAGAGCAGGGCTCTCCAGCTGCTCTGTGTGCTTGATGTGAAGCTGTGATGTTTGCGAGGGACTGAAGCATGAACTGCCCCACTAACGCTAGCAGGTGTGAGTAACAAAGGAGAAGGAGGAAAAGGCTGATAATCAAAGAAAAAGAAAATAGCAAAAAGATAAACCCTCCTGAGCAGGCAGTGTGAGAAAGTATTAATGGTTAACTCTCACTGTGGAGTAGGAGGAAAAAATGCAATTGCTAAGAGAAAGAGAAGTTTACCTTGCAAAGCAAATTTGTCATTCACTCTGCCAGATTATCATTGTTATTATTTGCTCTTCACTCTTTGAACCATAAAGAGAAAGCGTGCAAATGACCGTCAACTACAGGCATAACCCTCGCCCCGCAACCTCCCTGCCTGCATCCTCGCACATACAAAAAGAGAGGATGCTAAACACAGCCTTTGAAATTCAGGAGGATAATTGATTCTCTGACGCGTAGAAGCCCACAGGACTCCTGAGGGAGCACAGGTATAAAAAGAGGAGATGCACCTCCCTGGCAGCCAGAGGACAGCTGGGGGGAGATCCGAGAGTGTCCTCCCTGCTCAGCACGCGTCCCGGGTCCTGCCCAGGCACCGCGCAGAGGAGACAGACCCAGCAGGTCACAGAAGCAGCTCTAGAGAAGAAGTGGTTGGATTCGCAACAGGGGAAAGAAACACCTGAGCAGGAGCTGATTTAAGAAGGGCTTGTTTTCCAAGGGAACGGTAAGTGTGAGTCTCTGTATGTGCATTTAACAAAATAACGTCTATTTGGAAATTGGAGACAATTTGATTCAAACAATTTGATTGAAATGCAATCAAAGCTAGTGTCAGTAATTAGCTTTGCCAGATACAATATCCTTTGTACCATACAACACTTTTTTCTACTAAGTTACGGAATGAAACAATAATTGAACTATAGGATAAATGCAAATCAATAGAATTGTAATACAGATGAGCCTTGTAAAAACATGTTAGATGTTTACTAGCTGTAGCTTTTTTTGCTATGCTGACGCGAGTTCCTTTTACCCTGCAAAATAAACGTTGTTTTACTCACCCATCAACAAAACTGTGTTTGAGCCAAACTAAAGCATGAGGTGAAAGGCAACGATATGTTACAGATAACACGAAGCCAGCTACAATGAGGCAGAGTAAGGCACTTAAAAGGATTTCTGCTTTTTTAATGTAGTATTTCATAGTATAAAAGTCTGAACTTTATAAAACTGCAGGCACAGTAAAAGCTTCATTTCATCTATGTAGCGGTATTTTTAAGACTGATCAGGTTAAGGTTTCGGAAACAGTAAGAGACAGTTACCCCATCTCTCCAACATCACTGTCCTAATGCTGCTATTTGCGTTGCACAGGATGGAATGAAGCTATTACACTTTATCTGCTGGGACGGTGCTAAAAGATCTTCATCTTAAGGGAAATCTATTTATTAACCATTTTTTCACATGCTGCCAGAATTCCCTCACCTCAGGAGAATTTTGAAGGTGACAAGGTTTTGCAGAGCTGTCAAGCTGCCTGTATGCAGGGTGACACTTCAGTTCCCTGGTTTCTCCTCTGAAACAGAAGACGTGTAAGACTTTCATTTCAGGCTCCTTCCCGAGGGAAAAAGGGATACAGAAATACCCAAAAAGCTGGGATGAGAAGCAGACTGTAGTGAAGGGAGAGAAGACAAAGCCAGACAGGGGAAGAAAAGCGAAGCTAGAAACAAACAAACAAAAAAATTATTGCAAAGAAACTAAGAGCAGAGAAGAGAAAAAAAATCTCAAAGGGACAAAAAGTGATTCTGGAGGAAAACCCAGTGTTCAAAGAAGAGAAAACAGATACAGAAAGAAAATGTAATCAGGGCTGTATCCTAGAAAGAAAAAAGGGAAGCAGACAACATTGGACTAGGTTTTCTTTTAATTTACATTGATACTTCACTTCTTGGCTCACATAGCTTTCCTGGTACTGATTAAATCTCCCGGTTGTCACTTTCTATAGATGCTGGTGCCACGGTCTCCTGGTAACCCCCGACAGATGCTTTAGATCACTGCTTCTATCTAGAAAGAGAATCTGATTTGGGATTTGTCTTGGAGATATTCAGGGAAGAGAAGCACAAGAGAGGCATGTTTTTTCAAATTCAAATGAGAAAGGGGGGAGGGAGAAAAAAAAAAAAAGGCAGGAAATTTGCCCTAAAACCAGGAGCCCTGCAAGTCTCTCTCAAAGTCACTTTTTTGCTGCTTCTAAGCATTCCTTGGCTCTCTGAGGTGCCAGAGAGGTGCCATAAGAAACCACATTTAGGAGGTAGAGGATGCCACCCATGTGTTTGCAAGAAGCTCTGCCAGAGCCAAGAGCAACGGCGCTGCTCCCAGGGGAACAGATGGGGAAGCCGCTGGACCCCCAGCCTGCGAGCAGCTAGAAACAGAGACCAGGCTGAGAACAAGTTTATGATAAGAAACCCCATTTCTTAGTGCATCATCTTGCCCCCGTCTGTCCATCCACTTCTGACACTACCACTGATTGTGTTAATAATTTCCACAGTATCAACATCAGACCCACTTGCATGAGCACTGGTCCCTAATTAGCCTTCCCCTCCTTCCAGACAAGTGGACAGCTATGTCTGAGCAGAAAAACAGAGCTCACTGGTGATGTTTCCCATCAGGACTGGCCACCTCCTGCCACCATGGTCAGTAAAACCCACTGCTTGGAAAGTTCGCTTGGGAAATTAGAAGCCCAACCAAACCCCTTCCATTTGGAAACTGCTCTTTTTTTGCAATGTATTATACATTTGAAAGGTTTTTTTAAAAACTTCTCAAGGTTTTTTTTTTTCTCTTATGGAGATCAAACATTTTTCTTCTATTTTCTTGTCTTAAGTAAGACAGGGAACAGGAAAACTTCCTATTTTTGAAGATTTGTATCCAGATTCTTAAAGAATCTATTTTGAGCAAAAGATCAATCACATTCAGTCAAAACTCAGGAAGAGCCTTCACTGAAATACCTTCCTACTGTCCCTCGTTTCCAATGACAAAAGCGTCGCATTCAGCTCCCGAGGGTGTGTGACCTCAGACAACTCTGTCCTGAGTCATCCACAGCAGCACTTCAGCCAGCCCCAGGATGTGAAGCACCGCAGCCGTCTGAGACACACACGGCTCAAGTCCGTCTCGCCTTCCACCGAAGCTGGTGCTCAGGGCTGCATGAGGGAGCTCCTCTCAACACAGCAGTAGTTCAGCTCTCCCGAAGGGACGTATTTCAGTCCAGGCCCACCTCTCCCCAAGCACAATGACGAAAGGAACAGTGTTTTGTTTGGCTAACCAAGCTCAGCACTGTTGCTTTCGATAAATGGGTTTGCCAGGGTTACCTCTAGGCCAGTATTACCCCTCTGCCCAGGAATTTTATTTGGATTTCCCTGTTTTCTCCCCAGTCTCTGGACAGCCAGCAAGGCAGCCCAGTCAGCTGTTACGCGTGGAGCTGTGCTGTACAGCCATGTGAGCGGGCACACACCCCTGGGAGAGCGGAGCGCAGGGGAGGTCCCAGGGGCTGGTTGCAGATGGTCCCATGCAGGCAGCGAGGTTGCTTTTTGCAGCCCCTGCTAACTGCTGCCCTCCCGCATCCAAGTGTTTTTACAGTGGTCCCTGGGGCTCACCCCAGCCTGAGAGCTCTCCTTCAACCGCAGCAGCAGGACAGGTCAGTAAGGAGGTCCCACAGAGTGAAAGCCTGCTCAGCAGCCCTGCCTCCCGACCCAAGGGTGGCACCAGCTCCCTGAGGGCTCACACACAGCCACTGCCTCTGGAACAGCATGCCCTGGGGAAGACTTTGCCACATCAAGACATCTCTGCATTGGGGAAACACCATGACCACAAACGCGGAGGCACGTTTCCCTTTGTGCTGATGACCGAGCAGGGGAACTGAGAACACAAAAGTGGCACTTGGCCTCCCCTCTTGGCCCTAAGCATCTCACTGCTGCTGACTCCAACCGCTCTGCGTTTCAGGTGACCCCAAAGGGTGGAAGATGCTGGATAGGGCCACACTGCTCCTGTTCCTGCATTTAGTTGCATGTTCCATCTCCTCTCCTCTCTACCCAGCTCTCAGGTAAGCTGCTGAGTCTTTTATCCATGCTGTCACTCCCTGCCTTGTCTCTGACCTTGTGCAAAATAAGCACATGCCAAATTAAAGTTGCCAGCACTTCCAAAAACCAGATGAACTGTATGTGTATTGGTAAGTCTATTTCTTTACCTTGGCTTAATTTTTCGGGTACACTGCTAGCCTAGGGGCGGTTTCCAAAGGAGGCAGGCACCTGACACAGAATATTTCAGCCCAAGCAGCTGGTTTTGGAATTGAATGCTGGGTCATATAAAGGGAATTCTGGCAATCTGCAGAGCAGCCAGCACTTCCAGCTCCATTACTGATAAAAATTTGTGCCTGCAGGCCACCGACATTGAAATCAGAACTGCAGGTATTTTAGTACAGGAACTTAACAGCTGCCTATTAATATTTCAAGTATTTCCTTGCTGACTGTTATAAGTTGTGATATTACTTCCTACCTCTACAAATCAATGGAAGTACGAAATTGAGCACTGGGTTCTATCATGTGGATTTGCAATGTCCCACTGAAAATTCTTTAGCCTTGTGCCAAAGCCACGGCATAACGATACCATAATTGCTGGAATTTTGCTGGAGGATGCTGGGAGCTCAGCAAGGGGGAAGTGTGTTTGAGGCAGCTCTATCAACCATCTTTTCACTGCTGAAATAGCTTCAGGGCAGTTTCTAGCTGGAGAGAGTGATGGACAACACTTGTGTTACTGACAAGACGCAGATGGCAAAAGGAGAAAGAAAAAACAGGAGGAGTAGTGGTCAAGAAGATTGATCCTCCCCTGGCAGTTGAGCACATCTTGCAGTATGACTTGGGTTTGTCTTGCAGGTACAGTCCAGAGCCAGTTGCTGGCAAGGCCGTGAACTTCCAGCTACAGCACAGCAGCCCTTTGCAGAGCCATAACCCCTCAGTGGAGGAACAGGATGAGGAGAGTTTGTTAACAGACCCCACTGAGAGAAGGTTCGTACCTCACCTCTAAGCCCCACTGCAGCAACAGTATGCTGGTTACGATCTTCCCACAGCCTGGGAGCAGACCAGCAGGTCACTCAGTCCCACCAGCACCACAAAGTACAGGCTCCAGGGGGAGAACCCAGCTGAGCCCTGCACAGGAGCAGAAGGCTGGGACTGTGCCAGCTCCCACCATCACCGATGTCCAGAGCCATGTCCTGCTATCCTCCCGCAGCAGGGATGTACTGACAGGGGCAGGGTCACAGGCCCCGCACTCCTGCAGGGAACGTAATCTTGCACCGAGCTCTGGGAATCTATCTGCGTGGTTGTTAGAGCCTCTCCTTTCCACCCCTGCACAGAGATGGAGGATGGTTTCTGAAGCGCAGAGGACTCATCCTTACAACAGTGGGACCAGCCAAGTGGCTTGTGCTCCCCTTACCTGTGGATTTTCAGGAGCCTGAGTCTAACCACAAGCTAGAAACCTGATCGAGGCTCCTGCCACCCTGTCCCAACCACAGCCCTCCCAGAAGGTGACAGTGTTACTGCCGAGCACAGCAATGTCCCAGCTCTGCCCTCTGCCAGCCTGTGGTTCCCATCCTCCTTTCCACTGGTTCTCTGACCTCATCTTTGGTTTGCAGGCACTTCTCCTTATTTGTTTTAGTGTGGATACTGATTAACAGATATTTTGTCTTGCCTGCTGCCTCCCTGTCAGAACTGAGCTCCCTCAAATCCTTTGATCATCCAACACTAACGCAGCCCGATACCAAAAGGAGTTTGCTATGGTTACCTGTCCCTGATCTCAGCAGTGCTACATCTGGTGTATTTTGACACCTGAAACACCCATTTCTTTCCTGGAAGGTTCATTGCTAGCTCAGCAAGCACACCCTATGCTTGTCTTTCACCCCCAGGATGCAGCGTCATGCTGATGCCATATTCACCGACAACTACCGGAAATTCCTGAGGCAGATTTCTGCCCGCAAATTCTTACAGACCATCATTGGCAAGCGGCTCGGGTAAGCCACAGCCCTTTGCTGTCCTAGGGCAAATGTTTTGCTTATTACACTGGGCAGTTTCTTGTATGCATACAACAGAAGCAATCTCTCCTGCTGTTCTACATCCCGAAGGGCATCCCACATTCCTATGTCTCAGATCCCCCTAATCACAACTATCATTTAAGCAGCCTAATTAATCTTTTCTTCTAAGGCTCTAAGTGTCATCAGCTGAGAGCTCTACCATAATATCAACAAGCAATAGTATTTGCAAATAATAGTTGCAATGATCATTCACTGTTAGGAAACAGTCATCCCTGGCCTGGTTTGAACACAGAAGACAGCCTCTCCACTACCAGTCAGATAGCTATGGCTGGATAGGTCAGCAACTGCCACTAAGTAAGACCAATTAGCCAGATGGGAGCCCACTCTCATCCCTCTCATAACACAGGAGCAAATACAGCTGACCAATTTCTTACCAAAATGATGCAGAACAGCCCCAGGCTCAGACCCAGCAAGTTCCCTTGCTGTGCTGCTCAGCCTGAGCCAAACTTTGAGTGAGGGACTAAAAAGCATCTTTGAGACAAATATGTTTCTCATCTTTGCATAACAGAATCAGCGAGAGCAGCCCAGGAGAAGGGGTGCACGAATTTCTGACAAGGCGCCAGTCTGACAGTATCCTGATGGACAGTCGCTACCACCAACAGATGGTACTACGGGACTTCCTGGGAGCCATTCTGCAGAATCAAAGGTAGGTGGGAATCAGTTCATTATCTGCTCACCGCAGGAATAAGACAAGGGCCTTATTGCTGTCTGTCTTCCAGATGTGAAGCTACTGGATTAAGTCTCATCTTTCATATACACTCAGAGAAAGAATAAAGCTCTCACCTGACCCCTTAACCCAGCCCTTCCCTTACGTGGGCAAGTAGGGTGCCGATAAGGAACAGCCTGTCCTGAGCCAGCCTGCACCACACACACTAGCACATCATTGTGCTGTCTTCTCACCCTCATAATTCAGTAAAATAGCAGTGGAAAAAAGAATTTCTCTCTCAATCCCAATTATACCATCACTGTCCTATTCTCTTCTTTCACAGGCCTCAGAACATCAACAGCAGTCGGTTAGAAGACTTTCCCAGCACCCTGGCTAAGCTCATGTAAATATTTCTCCCTTTTTCACCTCGCCATGCTCTGGTGAGTACTATTCCCTGCTCAAGACCATATATAACACAATGCTTCTGCACTGCTCAAGTGGTTTGAAGGCTCTCCTTCAGCAAAGCCAATCCCCACTGCTGTCCATGAAAAAGGGTCCTTGCTGCAATTTAAGGGGAAAAAACTCCCCATCAATTTTCTCAAGTACCTAAAGTCCTGTTAGTCTGAACAAAGAGACCATGAGTGTTGTGAAGCTGCATGTGGATGTCTTGAGAACAGCTTTGTAAGACTGCTTTTGGTTGCTGCAAGCCTATCTGAGACTGTGTACGTGAGTGTCTAGGCTAGGCTAAAGGTAGACAAAAGTCCTCCCCTGGGAGCAGAACCTGCCTCTAGATCCCTGGGACACTTCAGGATTTCCCTGTGGTACTGAATAAGAGAGGAAGTCTTACTGTTTTCTGTACTCCTCACTCCTGAAAGTGGTCACCTGGATCTTGAATTATGCTCTATATCTTGCCAGCCCTGGTGGACTGAGAGCCAGCAGACAGCAACAGCCCATCCTTGGGAATACCTTCACTTGTTCAAAAGTCAGCTGGCCTGTTTGAAGCAACCTCATTTTATTCCCTCTGTCCCATAGAAATTAAGCCTGTCCAACCCTCACTATAGCACAATAGAGAGACCTGTGTGCATACTAAACAAAAAGAGAGCCTGGGAAGGGGCAGGGGGAGATCAGAACTTCACATAAATCATGCCTATGGATTCAGCTGGGAGAGCATGGCATTTCAGCATCTCTCTTGCCATGCTTGACTTGGTTACCTTTCCACAAATAAGGTCAGCCAGGAAAATCCTCCAAAGAATGAAAAAAATCTGTGTGTGCTCACAAGGTTTTCTCATAATTCTCTTCTCGTCCTGCTTCTCTCTAGAATAATTCAGAGCTCATGGATCTAACTGTACAGTAAGCCCTTCACAGCAATGAAGACATTCCCGGATGTGACCAGCTGGAAACTGATGCATACACTCCTCAGATCTGTTCAAAAGAATGCAGTTCTGATGCACTACTTAATTTACTTCAGAATTTAACTCCCCTGTGTAAATACTGGTCCATGTACTGAATCAGAAAAAAACCCTCTCCGTCGTTTAACCTCAGGCTGCTTTACATACAAAGACTAAAACAACCAGTACACTTGTAATCCTGGGGACATACTGTCTAACAATTAAGGCTTTCAAATCACAAAGCATAGCAAAATTTCTGCCAAGTCATCATTCTGTTTGAGGGCCTGATTAATAAACATGAGGCCACCAAAAGGCACCTTTAGGCAACTTAGTAAATTGATTACAGCCTCCTTCTAAATAGATGCTGATGGCACAACCACACACACAGCTCGGATCAGGGTGAGGTAAGACATGAATCCACATGTCTACCACCCATTAGAAATGCTGCTGCGGGCTGCTGCTGTCTAGCTCCTTGATGCAGAGCCCCGGCAGCAAAACTGAACTCTAAAAAAAGCTCAGCAGCAGTTACTACTCAGCCTTGAGGTGTTCAAACTGAATCTACAGCTCTGCAAGAGTTTAAGGAGATCCCTGTGCATCAGACTGAGCTGTCACTATGTTTGAATTCAATGTGCCATCCAGTGGCTCTGAACTCCACCATGGCTACAGTTACAACTGTAAATGTTTTCAAAGAAGTTATTAACCCAGTGATCTCATACAGCTACTTCATAGAATCATACAGAATTACAGAATGTTAGAATCTTTGGGTTGGAAGGGACCTTTTAAGGTCATCTAGTCCAACCCCTGCAATGAGCAGGAAGGGTACTTCCTTCCCTGTCACCCCAATTCTCCTATTGTTTGTGTAATAATTATGTCTTCAGAAATGTGAATAACGTCAGGATGGGGTCTGCTTTCCCATCATCAGTGGGAAATGAAAGTTGTTCGAAATAAACCTGTCCAACAGCAGGTCAAAATGGCTTGTTGTCTATTGACATATTAGTTTCTTGATTCTGGGCCGAGAATGGAAGATGCTGCTCAAAGACAGTGATCAAATGCACCAAGGACTCAGAGCTGTGCTAACAATGGCACCAGGTCCAATGCCAAGCAACTCAAGACCAGGCTGGAAATACAGGGGCATGCAAACATATATTAAGGCCTATGAGATCATCCCTCCTTGTACCTGAACAATTCCTTAATAGTCTTCAGTAGGTACCACCTCATTTTTCCTCAGGTGACCATATTTTAGGACAGCAGGCTCCACACATGTGTGGAAATGAGTTCATACTTGCACCAAATCCCTATGGATTACATTCTCTCTGTTCACATCTTACAATTCTAGTACTATGAAAATATTACTAACTGCCCAGCAGGATGGGAAAGCAACAAGGGGATGTTGAGGGAGACAGTGAAGCTGTCACAGCTGCAAGTGCACTAGTGGGTAATCTGTTACCCTTCCACATAAGCCATCCTTCTGCTTCACAGTACAGCTGGACAGAAAACCTGCAAAAGATGACACCTCAGTAGGCCCGTTTCAAAATGTGTTTGTAAACCTGTTCTGTAACAACTAACATGCTTGAAGCCATTTGGACTTACTTGCTCCAAGGAAAGGAACTATAAAAAACAATCAGCTTCTTGAAGTAGTAAGTAAACATGGCACCAAAAAAAATTTAAAATTCTGTTAAGTGGCAAAAGAGCTATATACAAACACTAGGTTAGATACACCAAATAAAATCAGAAAGACCTAAGTCTGTATGACTAAACAGCTGGGTGAATGCAGCTATTTCGTATAACTTTGAAAGTTCAGTTTGCATGAAAGTGAGGAAACAAATGCTCAAAGGCTGGGAGATTAAATATAAAAACAAATAAAACAAACCAGATGTCTGAGGAATAAAAGGCCAAAAGAATAAAAATCTTTCCTAATGCATAGCCAAGGAGGTAGAAGATCAATAGCAACACGCACAGCTTAGAGAAGATATATCACAGTAGCACTCTTCGATTTTTTTTTTTTACATCTGTGCTCTCCTTGGATAACGTGCCAAAGCTCTACAGGGAAAGTACTGGAGGATCTGTCCTAGCATAAAGCATCAGTAGAAAAATAAGTTATAAACCAAAGCTGATGAGTGAGCAGTAATAAAATATGAGGCTCAACAAGAACTGAGTGAAAAGGAGTTCCAGGGTAAAGTACTACAAATAGTAGCTTAACTATTTCTTGCTTAAAACTCCTTTAGTCCCAGAGGACTTTAATGCGGCACGAGATCAGGTTTTTGAAGGAGTACAGAAGAGGTTAAAGGAGTTAATTAAATCTCTATGGCATCCAGTACAATGTTCACAATGAACAAATGGGTAGGAACTATTACGAGGAACAGAAAAAGTGAGCTAAGTGTGAACAACTGCAGTGGAGAAGAGGAAAGATGGCTTTTATAAAGTGGAGTCATCTCTCACACATGTGAAGTTCTTTGGAGCATTTGGCTCCACACCCTTTATCCACATGCTTGCTGGCTGATATAATTTTCTTGGCTCTCCAGAAGACATTTGATAAAGTACCTTTGCCAAAAGGCCTTTAAAGAAACTAGTCTGACATGGGACAAACAGGAGCCAACACAGATGCAGGGGAAGGAGCAGCCGTTAAGTTTCCCATGTGGAAGTTGCTCACCAGGAGGAGATTTTGGCCTTTGGTTATCATCATCAGTGTGCCCTTCAATAAAGCCCAAGTCTGCTGCTTCAACACTGCTTAGTGGTCTTGAAGGTAGTAATTAATTGAGAAGTTAAGAGCTCAGGTAACTCAAACATGGCCACATGGCAACCAGCAGATTCCCAGCATTCGGTTTCATAGAAGAACAGAGAAAATAACCTCAATCAAACTCTTATTTGGAATGAAAAGGTTACTTTCAGAGGCTGGAGAGAAAGCGAATCAACTTGAGGGACGTGCCAAACCTGCCGGGGTCAGCCAGCCAGGCACGCCAGCACCGCAGCTGGCTCCCCACAGGGGCCAGGCCCAAGGACTCCTGCCTGGGCCCCAAGGGCCCACGGCAACTCAGCACAGCCCAGCCTGAAGTCAGAGAGAACAGCCATTAGCAGAGTAATGCAGATGACAGCGTCACACAAGGGAACAGGCAGGAGTGGAAAATCCCCCCCAATAAACAAGTCCCTCTGGGAAAGGACATGAAAGAACAGGAAGCTTCACGTAGCAATGACTCATATACAAAATTACCCACCAGAAAAAGCTCTTTTCATTCTCATGTGGGCCCAACTTCCAATCACAGCCTCTGAGACAGCTAAGAAACAAAATTCAGGACCATTCTTTCCTTTTTATTCACAAATCACTTAAGATGAGGAGAGGGCACCTGGGGAAAGGCAGAATTATATTTTCTTTTTCCTCTTTTTCTAAAGGAAATTCACATGTCCTGGGATAAAAAAGGGGGGAATATCCAGGGAAGAACAGATTTTCTGGACTCATATGAAAAGCACTCAAGTAGCAGGAACACAACGATGAAAATCGTATTTTAAAAAAGTATAACTGGCACCCTTTTGACTTAAAGTCTGCTTCTGCCTTCCTTCTTCTGGTCTTTCAGTTAGTTATTCACTTCTGTTCTGAAGGCATTTGCTTTGTTTTTCCCCATTTCTTCCATTCTTCCAGTACTAGTGTGTCCTGGAAAGAAAAATCCAAGAAATTAACTCTTCCAGGCAACAAAGCACTTCCTTGCACAGTAGAAGTGTCCCCAAGCCTCTCATTCTCTCTCAAAGGAACCCTGTCAGATAAGCTTCGCAAAGGAAACTTTGGAGTGATAAAGGAGTGATAAAACCAGTACTGCAATGAAACAGAGGACTGAATTCAAGGAGGATGGAAATGGTCAGACAAAATGAAGGTTAATTTCTGGTGCAAAAGGGATGAGTGAGCCTTGTAAAATACAGAACTGAACAAAAAATCATGGCTGAACGCAAAGCCTGCAGGTACCCAAACTGATCTTCTACTTTAAACAGGGCAAATCTATCCCTTTGGAATCAGCTGGTCCATGTAAACACAAAGAAAAGATCTTCACATCCCCAAGATGAAATAATCTAATGTGGGCACAGCAGACCCATCTTTTCGGGCTCCTTCTCCCTTCTAAGATGGCAGACACAGGCATAGCTATGGATGCTGAGCACTTGTCAGTCCAACCCTAGAAGCTGGTAACAATAAAAGTTGTAACTGACATATCCAGGGCATCAGAAATCCCAGCAATAAGGAAATGCTTGTGACTGCACAGGGCAGCAAAACCTAAGTTATGTTTGTGGATAATAAGTTATTTGCAGGATCTTCCAGGATCACTCACAGCCCAAAGGGGAATTAAAGAGTTAAAATACCAGGCTGAGAAAAAGAAAACATGCCAGCTGTGGAGAACACATTTGTGAGGCATTTGTTACCAGGCCAGTGAAAGCTGAAAACCACTGGCCCAAAGCTATGATAAAAAGCAGCATCCAGGGACCAGAACAGCACCACCAAATACAGCCAGGGTGCAGCCAGCATTCATCCACTAGAACAAGCGACAGCCATCTCCAGTTCCTCTCCAGTTACTTGTGATAGCTCGTCCTGTGCTCAAATACCTCAAAACACTGCAGGGAGAGAAGAGATAGTAACAGGGTGCTTTTCTATGGGACACGATGCCAAATTCTCCATAGGTAATTTTCATGAAACCATCCTCCATACTATCTGATCTGCAGACAGGAGCTTATACCACAGTGCACATTGTTTCTGCGACACAGCCATCTACACGCTGGCTTTGTTTTGCGCCACAAAACTGAGCTCCAACGCACTGTATGCATGTGCCTGGAGCACTGACTATGAACATGGGAGAAAGCAGATGCTCATGAGATGTATCAGTGCAGCATGTTGTGCAGTCATTTCGGTCTCATCACAGGACTTGTCCCAGATGCTCCATCCCTTCCCCAAAATAAAATGGTACCAAACAAGAAATGAAGCCACACACGCACATTCAGAACTGAGCAGCATGCAGAGCAGCAGGCAGTCCTGCCTCCTATGC